GTATTATTCATCTTTCCACTTTTCATGCAGGCAAATATATCATGATGACTACCTTTCCTCATGGAAGTTACATTTGCTCAGTTTTCCCATTCAAATAAACTTTTGTTTAGCTTTCAAACTTTGATACAAAATAAAACCCAGAAAAATGCATGCAGCTTGGGGAAAAAACAGAGATCTGTATGCAGTTGCAGAACTACAATCTTGTTGGGATGACAGAAACATCACTAAGTATTGCAATGAGGGGATAAAGGATTTTTAGGAAGAACAGTATAGGAAGGCAGGGAAGAAGAGTTACCCTTTCTTTAAGAGAGAAGCTGGAGTGAACAGAGCTCTGCCTGGGGATGGATGAAGTTAGGCAAGCTAAAGCTGAGGTGGAATTGCATCTTGACAGGGATTTCAAAGAGTTAATAGAGTTAAAAGTTGATTGTAAAAAGATATTTTTGACATCTGTATTTGAAACTTAGCAGCTGCATCAACTGCAAATGTCTACAAAATTTGTTCTAACTTTTAAAAACTCCCATAGAGCTTCTTGAAGCTGCCTGCATTTATGGCCAGTTCAGAGAAGAGGTGTATAGTAGCAGCTGCATTTTCATGCATTACCAGAGTTCTCCTCATTTATGTTTAATATGTAGAAAATGTTATCATTTTCCAGTTTTACTGATACTCTTATGTTTCATAGAGTTCATAGAGAGAAACTGAAAGGGTCATGAAAGTGATGTTCTCTGTGACTGCAGGCAAGTCAACTAGTGTCACACAGTAAGTCTGAAATACTAACCAGAACTCCACAAACACAGTATTTTTCATAACCGGTTTATTCTTCTTCTTGTACAGATCACCGCTCCCCTCTTTAACCCTATGGTCTTAACACTGCAAAACCTAAGTACCCAATGGATTTGACACCTCTCTGGAAAACAGCATCCAAGACCCAAGTACTAATGATTGGTTTTAAAGGTTCCAATGTGATGAGAGTTTTCAATGCATTTTCACCTTTGTACACCCCAAAGCCAGTGACACCCAGGTTAATCAATGTCTTGAGATTTAATCAGAAAGTGTTGAGAAACAAGTTCTGCAGTGTGATACAGGTAAACAACAGCCTAATGTTGAAGTGGAAAGCAGTGCTTCACAAAGATTCAAGAAAATTCAAAACTGGATAGGCATGGTAGACAGAGTAAGGCAGACCAAAAAACCCATAAAGATCAGTGACTCACCTTTAATTATCAACAAATGTTTAGCAATCAAGAATGGTTCAGCAGTAATCCTTATTTCTAAGTGGGAACTGGTGTTAACAGCCTAAGGAAAATAACCTTTCTGGACTGTAGAGTCAGAGTGAGAAAAGCACCAGCATACAGTCCTTTTTCACTCCTGCCTTTCCTATGTCCCCAGCACTGGTAACTCCCAAGGTCCAGCCTCTTTAAGGGAAACTTATCCTACCCTTTTGGTCACTCATCTTAGCCCTCATGGTCTAGAAGGCAATTCCAAGCTTCCAGCTGCTTTCTTTTTTCTCTGTTTCTTCAAGGAAGTCCTGACCCTGAGGTCCTCACATGGGGCACCACTGTGTAAAATGTCTAGTGGCTTATCTGGTTCTTCTCCTCGGGGTTGGGATTAATGAACGAGAGATGGTATTCTTGTTCGGACTCAGATGTTTATTATTTCTTATCTATATTACAGTCTATATTATCTATATTATATCTTATCTATATTACAGTCTCACAGCACACCAAGCTAACAGACTAAAAATGGAGCCCCAGGTCTCTCTCTACAATGCCTTCTAAATGTAAACTGCCCAATTATAAAATGCCAACTAATTTATTTTTACTTTCAACCCAATAACCAAGCACCTGTGTTCTACATTGTGGATCTTTCCAACTGATCACACAATATCACCCATACCCATGAAGAAGGTGAAAAAGCAAGACAAGCCTACACCCTAAAACTTTCATCTTGCTACATATATATAACAATATCCCAAAACCTTAAACTCTGTATTTTCTACCATGTGATATAATACACTTCTATTCAAACTACACACCCACAATCTCAGTTCTGTCATTCAATTTTGGAAGCCTTTCCTACGACCTCAGGTCAAATACAGTGCTCTCCTGCAGAACAGTGCCTGTCAGCACATAAAGCCTGAAATTCTCTGCACCCAGGGTTCCAATACTCTGTGAGTGAGGCAACACTTGGAATGTATTGAGCACTGTCTTGGTGAGGATGACGAGTAAGTTGAGGGCCTTTGGGTTTGGATAAAACAACAGACTGGTAAGGGTGACGCTGCTGTGGGTGTTGGCTACAGGTTGCCTGGGCAGAAGGAGGATGTTGATGACGCCTTCCACAGGCAGCTCGAAGCAGCCTCAAAGTCACAGGCTCTGGTTCTTGTGGTTTTAACTACCCTGAAATCTACTGGAGAAGCAACACAGTGAAGCACAAACCATCCAGGAGGTTCCTGGAAAGCCTTGATGACTACTTCCTGACACAAGAAGTGGACTATCCCACAAGGAATAGTGTGCTGCTTTGTCTCATACTAATAAACAGAGAAGGCCTTGCTGGAGATGTGAATGATGGGCAGAGCTTTGGCTGTAGTAGCCATGAGACTGTGGAGTTCAGTGAGGGGAAGGAAGAAGCAGGGTGAGTAAGATTGTAACCATGAACTTCAGAAGAGCTAACTTTAGCCTCTTCGGGGATCTTCTTGGATGAATCCCATAAGAATGAGACCTGCAGGAAACGAAGGTCAAAGAGAGCTGGTTGATATTCACGGATCACTTCCTCCAGTCCCAAGAATGTTAAATCCCAGTAAGAAAGAAATCAGGCCAAGGGGAAAGAAGCCTGTGGATGGTCAAGGAACTCCTGTCATTACTTACATGTAAGCAGGAAATACACAGGAAATAGAATCAGTGTCAGGACACTTGGAATGAATATAGAGAGGTTGTCACACTAAGTATAAATGAGATGAAAATGGTCAAGACCAATCTGGAGTTAAAGCTGGCCAATGCTGTCAAGGACAACAAGAGGGGCTTTTTCAACTCACTGTGATCCCTTCCAACTTTACCCATTCTGTGATTCTGTAATATGAACTTACCTCCAAAGGAATATACCAGTACAACAGCACCATACTGCAAGCTGTTTTTTTCCCAAAATATTATCATTAATTCCCATTCTAAAGGATTGTTCATAAAATTTAGTGCCACTGAGAATCAAGCCCAAATTATCAATCAAAATATTTATTTACATCTCTCGTCTATTATAATCTCTCTAAAATTAAAGGACTCTTGTTTTTTAGGTTTTGATACAACACAATTAGATATCAGGGCTTTCAATAAATTGTAGTTTTAAAAGGTTAAGACAGCATTAAAAATGATTAGTATGTCAGTAGAGTCTAAGCAGACAGCTCTTTAATAACAATGGACAGGGAATTTAAAGAAAAATACTTCAGAGAAGTAAATGGATATTCTTTCCAGCAGAATGATTTCTTTAAAGACAAAAATCCAAATTACACATGTCTCCTCTTTTTTGTTTCAAAACTACTTTGAAGGTAAAATACAACTACCCAAAGCAATTAAGATGAGAAGATGACTGATAGAGGAAAAGAATTCTCCAAGGGCCAACTATGTAATACTGAAAGAACTGTTAAGTCAAAGCATAATCATCTATTTTCCCCTGAATTATATTTATTTAATACAAACATAAAGGTGTGCAGAACAGATGAATGGGTTACTAGAGAAGGTGAAGCAAAAGCTCTCAAATGTTGTTCTTTGGAGAGCATCACCACTATCAAAGAGAACTGTTTTCTGCAAGCCAGTCTTGAATTCAAACAGACACCTGCTTAAATTTTCCATGGCTCTGTGAGCAACTACTAGAAAAGGAGAAATCAAATGTTATAAAACCTAGTCTACAACAGTAGTGCTTCCCAGACTCCAGTCTTGGTTTTAGCAATTGTAGAACTTTAGGTAAACAGGTGACAAAGGAAGACATTTTTTCTTTAATTTTTACTTTTGGACTACAGTTACTACCCTAACTCTTGTCTTTATTCTGAAAGAGAGGAGGAAACTGAGCTTTCTCATGTCTCCATTATGCACTTCCCATGAGATGAAAAACAAACTATGTGTCAGATTTTGATATGTGAATAAAACTGTTCATAAGGTGGTAAGTTCTACAAGATGCCTTTCTCATTCCTTTGCTCCAAGAGTCAGTTTATTAATTTGCTTTTATGAAACTACTTATTTATGAATTCTTCTTCAAAAAACCTGAAAATCCTAGACAAGCAAGAGCAACCTTTAGGAAGCTAAATCTGCACAATGTTCCATGGTTCCACTACAAAGATAAGAAATCACTTGAATGAAGCATTTTGCATCATAACCCCAGCTCAACACTTCTGGTGCAGAAATCTGGGATGTTTTAAAATTTTAAATACCATTGCAGAAAACAGGAACATATTCTTTCATTCATATTTCCTCACCCAGTGTACACATTAATAGACAGTCTCTGTACTTGCCTTTGGTCATTTATAATGCCCTAATACTAATTGAAAAATAACTCACAAAGACTTCCTATTTTATTACCCATCTCACTTCACTAAGTAAGTAGATTTCCTCTAAGGCCTCACATAAAAAATGAAGAGGACACACTTTGTTTCAGCTCCTGGTGACAGACATCAGATGTTCCTCTAGGAAACCCTTGATAGGAGCACAGCAAATTTTTTCAGAGGCCTAACTGATGGATGCACAAAACAAGATAAACTGAGAGCAGAGCTTTCATGAGGAAAAAAAGATCAGTGGGCTTCAGGGAAAATGGTGTTTCAGGCTACCTGTGTTTTTATAAATTGTAGCTGGGAATAAAAATTTAAGGTAATGTGGAGAAAATATTATACTCCCTGCCACAGTTCATTAAAGTACTATGCACAGAGCAAGCAGCTACTTATGTGACTGAACAGATCCTGCTCCTGCACATTTTACTTTCATTGAGAAAAAATGACTTCAGTGACTTTGAGTGTACTGCTCACATACCTTTCCTGGCTCCCTTCTGTGATGTGGTAGAGATGATTGGCACCTCCATCAGCACAAGCTCTCAGGGCAGCTGCAAGTCAAGAAAGAGAACATCAATGCATTTGCATTATAAATAAAAACCCACAACCAGCTGACAGGGCTGTGTAAACTTAATTGTTCATAGTGGCATAGGGAATAAGCTTGAGATATTGTATGGCTTTTAGCTTCCTGTACTTGACTGCTTTCCTGTTTCTCTAAAGAGAAATTTGAACTGTTTTTATCAGACTAGTGCCAATCTTCATCTGACTGTGCCACCAGACTTCCAAATAGCTTATTTGTATCTATCTGAACCTGCTGCACAGCCAGCTTAAACTACAAGACAGGTAAGTATTAAAAACCTGAAAAGGCCCATCCTCCACCTATGGATGGATTCTCCACCATGTCACAAGTGGGAACTTGCACTGTAAACACAGCTATCTTCTCACCCAGGCAGAAAGTTCCCTATGGTGCCTCTACAGCAACCTGCATAACAACTGGGAAAGAAAAATAACCAAGAGTTAATCATGACAATACCCTTTTTCTCTTTTTTTTCCCCCTCCTATGACACAAAAATTGTAACTTTATTACAGTTCCTATATTGTTCCACAGACTGTTTGAATCTTCTGATATAAAGTAGTTGGTTCAGGTCTTAGCTTTAAATCTTGGACTATCCTGGTAAAAAACCACAATAATTTTCAGCACTTCCACCTAACATGGGGACCACAAAGGGCATGTGCCACTAATTCCAGTTGATTTAAACAAGCAGAGACATGCTGTTCTCCTGTGATCCCTTTGTTTATACAGACTTAAGTCAAAGGAAAGAGACAAGTCTAACACTATTATTACAAAATCAAACATAAATTGGTATCTTTTATTCATAAGCTTCCCTATTAATCATCATTTTACTAACACACAGCTCTTTCATGAGGTTTTTAAAACCTGATAAGCTATTAAAGATTGAAAATGACCATCTTGTCTTAGCAGTCTTTATCAGTTTTGCTCCGAGATGCACAAGTTAGATAACTATAGCACACAAGATAAAGGAAGCTGCTGCTTCCACACTAGGGCAGAGTGTTCCTTCCAGGCAAAGAGAGACTGACTGGTAATTCTGAAAGGGCTGAAAGAACCACAGGGCCAGGGGGAAAAAAGAGGAGACAAGTAAAAAAAGGTACAAACAATCAGATCAGGCATTTTTTGCTGCTGAGAATCCAATTTTCAGCTAAAGCCGGTTTCCTTTGGTGTTTGTTTTTCAGTCAGAACCACCCCTCAGCAATGACACAAACCTGTATCTTTCCTTTTGGTGTACATTTGATCGGCAATCCACCTCTCCCCCTACTTAGCCAGCCTTTACAAATAGGGAGAACAGCTACCACTGTAGCTGCTCTCATCTTTAAGTGATTCTTTCTTATGTGGGTGCTGAACTCTCACAGGAAGTGTTTGTAAATTAATACCTACTGTGCAGTACCATGTGACCTTGGCTGAGGATTTATTTTTTTGGAGTGGGGGGGAGGGAAGAAGGAAGCAGGACAACACAAAAGCTACCAGTTCATCACAGGTACCTTTGGGTAGCTCAGCTTTTTTTCCTTCAGGCTGAAGCCATGAGCAGAGCAGGAGAACAAGCACTGTTCTCCTCTGTATAGCTTCTAGCACAGCTTCTGCTCCTGCTCTCACTACTGCCCTCAGCCTTCTTATACGGACCATGCTCTTCTCTGTCTCCTTACACCACTTCACCACTCCTTATAGCCTCCACCCAAACCCATATTAACAAGCCAAGGTCAAGCAGATTTGATCCTGAGAAATCTTACTAGGTGAAGTAATTTCTAGATTATTCTTGAATAAGAAGCTTGCCAGACACTTACCATGGTGATCCACTGCTCCAGTCAAGTGCCTCATCCAGTCTGATGAATACAAAGTCACAAACAAGAACAACACTTTTGTCCAGCTGTATTTGACCGGAAGATTTTAACTTCTTTCACTTGAGGTTACAGCTGAAAATGGATTGATATACTTCCTTTCACCTGGACGTGTCTGTTGTCTCAGGGAGTTCAGTTCACACAGAACACAGTAAAGGCCCATTGCAAGGAGAGTGTGCAATACCTGTCCTTAAGTCAGCTATCCTGTCCACTGGCTTATTTAGCAGACAGAAGGCATCTAAGCAAGACCTAGGACCTAATGCACATGACTTGCCTAAAAGATGTTTCCCAAACATTCCCAGACAGTTACAGCTTTTTCCTTCTGAAAACAGTGAATTTTCCATCTATTCTCCCACATTAAAAAAAATATATATAAAAAAAAATAAACAAAAAAGGAGCTTATAACTTCTGCAGAAAAAAAAAAAAGAAAAAAGAATGGGATGAGATACATAAAAAGAGATTAAAATCTATTATCGGTCTCAATTATTTTAACACAGCCAGAGCCTTAACTATTGTATATTCTCTCAATGGAGTTACCTCAAGTGAAGCCTGGCCTAAGATATCTTCATCTGATCTTATAATTTTAAAACAACATGACCAAAACAACCAAATCAAACTAAGCAAAACAAATCAGTCTTCAATCAGTCTAGTACATGTAAAAGTACTGAGATTCTCCCAAAGACAGGAAGGTGCCTATGTGACAGATCTATGACACTTCGATTTTTTTCACATGGATATGGTGCTACTATTTGATGTCTCAAATCAAAAGAGTTGCCTTATAAAAAAAAAAAAATAACAACTTCTGTAGCATTGTAAAGTTATTTGGAGAAACAATTTATGAGGTACTGATCCTTTACCAGCAAGTCAATAACTTACACTGAAATCAACCAAAGCCCCAGTTGCATTAAGGAACTAGCAGGTAATTAACAGATTGGCTGGAGGCCAATAAATCATAATATTTCTACAGCTATGAACTAAGCTTTGCTTGACAAAAAGTAATGATATATGTTAGCTGTAAGAATTATGTATCATTACTATCTGGAAGTGTTTAAGGAGATAGTCAGCAATTCTAAACTTACAGTTTGGATGGAAAATACTCTGTGTAAAATAACAGGAACTGATTTTATACAGGGCCTTTTGTATTAGAAACAAAATTGCTTTACAAACAACAATTTAGCCAAAGTGCACCATGGCAACTTCCTAGGCAAATCCAACAGTCTCTAGGCGCTTTGCAACACCTCACATGAAACCTCATTAATTATTGCAGCAGAAACTGAAGGACCTGAATAGGATTTGGGCTTTGTTTTGCTTGACTTGGCATCCTGAAAAGAGAAACACCTTCTTCTGAGACGTTTTCAGTTTAAACAGATAAAAAAAGGTAAATTAAAAGGTGGAAAGCAACACAGATGAAGCGCTAACGTTTACAAATGGGTAAAAGGCAAGTTATCTTCCAGGGTGACAAAAGTGGATGGTGGGACTTATAAAGTGAAAAATATCTTAAGCAAACAGCCAGAACAGCAAATGCTCTTACCATCTCTTCTGGCCCAAAGGCCATTATGGCAGACCCCCCAAATTTGCTAGGTGGGCTGCGCGTGGAAGTCCACTCTTGCTCATGCATGTCAGAAGAAAACTAAGTCACCCTTACCTAAGTGCTAGAGGCAGGTAACCCTGCCTCTGTGGATTGAGATGTACTATGGAATGGTTGTCCAAGTAGCTCACTGAGCTCTGCTGGGTCAGGAGGACCAACACCTCCAGAGAAAACTGTGATATGCATTTGGGAGCTGTAGCTTTTCCACCCACAACTGGAAACAGAGGAGGCCTGTGCTTTTGGCACCCAGCCCAGCTCAGAGCCCCAAGGTAGTGTTTCACGCTTCTGTTATTAGAAGAGATAATAAGTCCTCCTAAGAGGACAAGGACACAAGTGCACTGCAGACTCAGCTCAGCATGTGAATCTGCAATCCTTGGCATTACCACAAATTACCACCTTTCCAATCTGAATATTCTGTGTTAAGCTCCACTCAGAAATAGCTCTGTCTGCCAAATTACCACCTTTTCTATCTGTTAGATTCCTTTCTCATATAACTCCAGTGTCATTCAGTGAACTAGGGCATGGAGACATAATCAAAAAATCAACTGTTTTATTGCGCAGGAGGGGGGAACTCAATGCCAGTGTCAATAACTACTTCCCAAGTTATTGGGAGTAGCATGTGTTCAGTCCAGCAGTGTCTGAAATGATGGTAAGAGTTAATACCCCTCAGCTCCACCTATGCTAAGGAAGAGTTACATAGAGAGCATACTATCAAGCCATCCCATCTAAGAGTTTCTCACAGGCAGCATCAATGAAGAAACAAAAGCCTTTCTAAGCAATGCCCTTCCTTTTAAATGGTGCATCTTCTGCTAGTAAGGAGTGAAGTATTTCTCTTTAGTGACTGAATTTGAGGCACCAATGTTAGGGCTAATTATTAATTTTTACAAAACTTATTCTAACACTACAAAAATATTGGAAACAATTTACTTTATTGTACTTAGTTACCCCTTTGGCAAATATAAAAAAGTTCCTGTCCCTGTGAGACAGGATATGAGCACATATCAAACAAAAAAAAGGAAGGTCTTGGCTGTGAGCTAATTAGTTCTGATGCTTTTTACAGAAAAGGAGCAAGTATATGATCACATTCAATAGCCCTGCAAATTCAGGTGGGGCAAAAGACTCCACAGAACAGATGCAACTCTTCCAGACTAAGATGAGTACATAAGAAGGGAATACATTTATAAACATTACCAATACCTGGAAAAGAAAAGCATGACCTTATTATTCCTATTCTATTATTCCTTCTAATTAGCATTTAAAATATATTATTTTCCAAACAGATCTTGAAATCAAAACATGTTTTTTGCTTAAATTCAAATTTGTGACAACTCTCTTTAAACTGTGTTGTTTAACAACTGTTTTGCCCAACACTAAACCCACTAAAAACAGCTTTAGTATAGACCCTCTGTTCCTTTTCTAATTTTACACAACTTCTTCTAGGTATGCAATCTCTTTTCCTCATTCATTTATTGATTCAGCAGCCTGGTAAGCATAATTAACCTGCCAGCAAAATCTATGCAAAAGAGAACTCTGCTTAATTAATGACTTGGA